AAAAAAAAAACATTCCGGAAAAATAAACATTTTATCCTAGGAAATTTGGCAACTCTCGATAGTTCATACGGCGTTTTCACTTAGCAGGGTAGAGTAGAGACTCGTGTAGAAATGTGGTCGGGTTCCAGCTAATCGCTGGTCAAAACCAATGCTGCAAAGTTGAGTCATAAAGAGCGGTGGTGAGGAATTTTTGCAGGGTTGAAGTAGAGTTTTCCTGACGTGAAATTTCGCGAAAAAATCAAAACGTTCATCAAAAAGTTCAAGAGAAAAAAATTTTTTTAAGGAAGGAAGAAGCTCATCAACACCCGACGACCGAACTGGCCTCGCATAAGGCGATGGATAAAGCCGAGCCAATTTTTGCAACTTTCAAAAGTGGTTTTTTTTGGCAATTGACGGTTAAAAAATCTGAAAAATTGCAAGAGGCTCGTTTCAGTCATTGTTTTCGAAAAAAACTTTAAAAAAAAACGAGTTTCTCTGGCGCATTCTGCACAACGATGAAAATTTGAGGGTCTATGGATGTAATAATTATGAACAGGTGTTGAATAGCGGCGAATTTTATCAAAACATGCAAATGTTTGGTGAATTTTTACACTTTTGTCCGAAATTTTGAAACATGTAAAATACTGGAGATAGGCCTACTTCATTTCTTGCCAATCGGAGATAATATATTTTAGAGACACCGCACTCTTACAATCAGAGTGATGTAATCGAGTGCGGTTTAAGTGAACTTTGGAAGTTATAACACTATTTTTCGCCCAACGATGACTGATGTGTGTCATGAAAGTTGGTACTGCCATCTTTTGTTACAAGCTCAACACATTTCTCACCTCAAAAAACCCCTAAGTATATTTCAAGACGCGGGTTTCGGTACAAGTTCTACGCTTCGAAAGTAGGAATCTGTCTGAGAAAACTCAATATACAATGGAGAATTTGCAGGTGTCTTAAATTTTGTGACTTTAATCTTTAAAATGATACTGCTAGGAAAATAGAGTATGAGGATATCCTTGGTTTCTAAATTGAACAATTATTGGAGAAAATATGACCAAATAACCTTATCTGCCACAATAAAATTAAATGGAAAATGCCGCCAGAAAACGTCATAAGGCGGCACATTTTCTCACTTTTAAATCTATTTGTCTCAAATTCCCCATGTCAGAAAAAAATTATGAAAAATACTGCGAACTCAGCTCATTAGGCACTCTCAAATGAAGCGATAAAATTTTTGTGTGCAAATTCTCCTACGGAGAGTCTTCGTTCTGATCCCAAAAATCGATTCCGCAAATATTTGCACTTAACTTTGAGACACTTCGCATAATATCTCCGCGGATTACATGCAAAAAAAAAAATTAGGTGCAGTCGTGAGAAGTCTTATGGTTATTTTGGTGCTCGTTTTGTGTGCTTCAGAAAAAATTGATCGGGAGCAATATACAAACACAGCGTTGTCCAGCGAAAAGTCAAAGAATGACGAAACACATGGAAATAAATCAGCCGAGTGCTGACCGTGGAATATCGACCGGGGTCCTTTCTCATAGAGGATTGCCCTGCCGTTCCGAGTCAAAACCGCGCATGTACATTGGAACTCCACGAGAGTTACGCGTTTTTGACTCCGCGAAAGGAGTGTCGCCGAGGTGTATCGTGGAATTTTATTACGAACACGACGAGAGAGGGCGAGAGCTATGTAATTCGTCGCCCGGGTGACAAAAGGGCATAACTCCACTTTGCGATAAACCCTGGCGTCCATACGCTTCAATGCATATCCGGGCTCATCTCAGTGTGCAGTTAAGGGCTTTTGTCAGCCGCGCCACGAATTCATGGAGATAAAGTTGTGATTCGCGGTCTCGGTGGCGAGGCATGAGTGATGCATTATCGATATTTCCCCATTTGAAGCTGTTGTAAAGAATCGATTATTAAGGTATACCCCGTTTGTCGATCCTTTTCCATAGGTTTAAATGGTGTATGAATCGAGATATCGCAAAGCACGCCACGACACGGCGCGGTCTCGGCTCCGATCGTGTTATCATGGGTAGGTCGTGTTCACGATCCCGTCCCGGTCGCAAGTCGCAAGTTCGTTCGCCCCGCGCTAAGTAAAAACGTCGTATCGGCATTCTAACGTTGCCAACTTTCCTCCATTAAAATGATCGTGTTAAAGGAGAATAGTTGGACTTCAGTATGCAATTGGACGTGTTTACGCTAAAAGGAGCTATGTGCATAAAGTTTGCGTGAGACATAGTTCCTTTTGGCATAAATACATTCAATTCGGAACGAAAATCCATCGTTTTTTCCAAGGACGGCAGAGTGGCTGAAGCTCGGAATAATTCATCCACCGACGGCACCGATGGGGTCAACATTCCGAGGATGCCCAGGATTTTTTCCCATACCCTCCTCCACCGTGAAATATCGTTCCTCTTCATTTGCCAATACCATGATAATCATTAGAATGAGCTCTCTCGTCCATCGAATCCTTAGACGCCTTTGCATCATAAAGATTTACTAGCTTACGAAATATAAAACACATGGTCGTGAAGCTTCGCCGCAGTAGCGAGACGTGCTTTGCGATAAATGTATCGATTGATCTACCATTTAAACCTATGAAAAAGGATCGATAATTAGGATGTTTGCAGCGAACACCTTGATAATATAAGGCGATTCAGCAATAAACCTGCGGGCTCACTATTGAAATTGATAGATAAAGCGATAGACAAAGAAGACATAGGGAGCATCATCATAGCGATCCTTTCGGTTGAAGCGGATGGTTGTTGTCGACTAAGGGGGGGAATGATGGACTAACTTCAGGGTCTCTCATTAGCTAGTCTATCACTTACCTCCTTTGTCCATTGCAACCACCCGCTTCAACCAATAGGATCGCTTCTTTTCCCTCTTGTCTTCTTGGGCTATAGCTTTGTCTAAGAATGGACTACTAGACAAGGTACGAGTTAAAGGATTCTGATACATGTTTCTTAACCAGAATTTCACGTAGAACACGACTCGCGTAATGAAAATTACTGAAACCAACTCCTAACGAAGATATTAACGATTTTATTTCACATTGGTTACAAGAAATTTGAACTGTCCGCTCACAAGAAACTCAAAGCTCTACGTTAGTCAAGTCGCGCACTACAACGGTTTCGGCGATCTTCTTTATCGAGCAGTGTTCACTTCCCATCATGTGTTGTTCAAACTTTAAGCAATTTGCTATAGCTGAGCCAAAGCGTCAAGATCGCGGTTGCCAGATTTGTATATCGCACAGACTGTCATGATCACGTTTAGCGCGCGATGTGAATCACGTAGAGTATTGAGTTTTCATGAGCGGGTGGTTTGAATTCACGCATCAAGAATCATTAAATATCTTCGTAAGGAGTTGATTTCAGTAATTTTCGTTGTAGATATCGTGTTTTACGTGAAATTTTGGTTAAGAAACATCTACCAGAATGCTGAAATTCGTACCTTGTCTAGTGGCCCATTATCAGCCCGCTGAGGTATCCCAAGCTGCCGTGAATTTTCCAAAGTGCTTGCACACCACGTTGCATTTCCACCCCTAGTCCATAACAACTACCCGTTTCAAGGAATAGGATCGCTTCACATGAACCCTGTCCTTTTGTCTATGGCTTTGTCTATCAATTTCAATAGTCAGCTCGATGGTTTATTGCTTAAATTCCTCAAGTCTTCTTTCTTTTCTGATTTCTGCATAGCACTTGATCGTTAGACATTTCCCCCGATTCTTGTGAAAGAACAAGCCCGCATGGCGATAGTACACTGGCAAAAAAAGTCGCTTGGATCCAGATTCCAGACTCTTAAAAACATTGACAAGAAAAAATACTCTTGATTCAATCGGATTTTCGCTTGAATCAAAAGGAAATCCGCTTAAATCAACAGGCTTGGCTCTTCGATTCCAGGAAAAATCCAATCGAATCAAGAGTTTTTTTTTTTTTCTTGTCAATGTTATTAAGCGTCTAGACTCTAGATCCAAGCGACTTTTTTCCAGTGTATGGAAGATAACAGTGGCGTGGCGTGAATGATCGATTATCGATATCTCGCCATTTGAAGCTATGGTAAAGAATCGATTACTAAGGTGTTCGTAGCGAACACCCTAATAATCGATCTTTTTTCATAGATTTGAATGGCGTATCGATCGATATATCGCAAAGCACGCCACGCCACTGGAAGATAAGTATGATTTGCTCACCGTTTTGGACTTGAGTTCCTCCTCGGTGCGATGAACGTTGAGGAGCGGCGTGACCCTCACGAGCAGACGCCACCAGGCCCAGTCGCGGACTGACATGAACTTGCGCACATTCCGCTGGATGCAGCGCACCGCCAGATCCTCCACCTGCACAAAAAACCCGGAGAAAAAAGCTCATGAGTGAACATGCGATAAGATTACAGGCGAGCACACTCGAGAATCCGAGGCGCCGCGACGCCGCGCGCCGGCCGGGAAACGCCACGCGCGACGCCACGTCCATGACGCCGAATTCCGACACGTCACGCGCGACGAGATGCTTCGACGAGCCGACAATGGAACAGCCTCACTCGAGAAGCGCGTAAACCAGCATGGGAAATCAGTGCACTTGCGCCGTTTTCCAATTGGACTACATTAAACGATTGGACGTATTTCTACCAAACGGAACTATGTGCATTAAGACATGAGCCCTGAGACCCATAAGAGTATATGCATGACAAGGCTCACGTCATAATGCACATAGTTCCGTTTGGCAGAAATGCGTCCAATAAGGAACTACAATCTCTGGCTCATCCGTAAAAACACAATATCAGGGTTGCCACAGAATTTGGAAAATGAAATTACTTGACATTTCCATGATTTCTCTGTCACGTTTTGATAAAACTCCCTAACAATTGAGAATATGTCACATGCTTAAAAAGACATGATTTGAAAAAGTTTTCAGCCGCAATTTGTTGTTCGAAACGTCAAACTCATTCTACAGAGGGAATGAAAGTGACTTGACAATTTTCCCCTGACATTTTCGTCATTTTCTATGAAATTTCCAGGCTTTCCCTGACTTTTTAAATTCTCCGACATATTCCGGTTTTCCCGGTATTCCCATGACTGTGGCAACCCTGACTTACGCGCAGAGGAGCCGAATTTCGTTGGTCCTTCCACCGTTTTTGAGTAAACTTAGGACGAGTCTCGACCGCACTTAAGTCCGGCTTAGCGCTTCTGATCGGCCGATGGTGCCGACTCATCGATGGATTAAGTTAATGGACACCTCTAAGTTATAGAACCAACAAAATTCGGCTCCAGGGAAATTAATGGTACATACTTCGTTTCTAAACTGACAATGAGCCAGAAAGTGTAGTTCCTAATTCTGCCGTGCTAAGGAAAAACGCCGTATGAACATTCTCGAGTTGCCAAATTTCCAAAGTTATGAAAATTTTTCCGTGAAAATTTCTGGAACCTCGGGTGAAATTTCGACAAAAATTATCTAGATAATTGGAAGAAAACCTTCATTTGTTTACTAGAAAATTCGTGTTTTACGGAAGGAAATTTGGTAACGCCTGAAGGTTCATACGGCGTTTTTCCTGAGCACGGCTGTATAGGGAAGTCGAGGCACGCCCCGATGTAGCGCCTTCAACATCGTAGAAATACTTCAAACGCTACACCGTTACACACACGTTTCGTCGTGCATATTGCCTATACTGCGCCTGCCCGAGCGTACACCCATAGTTGTGAGCAGTAAACCATCGTCCACCCGCGATCCATGGATTGGGCGATCGAGCACAATCTGCGCACCTGCTCTTACTGCTCTATTGCCTAACATGAAATGAGGAGAGTCTATTGTTTGGCAATGCCTGAGGATTCACACGACTTTTTTCCTTAGCACGGCAAAATTGCACTGATTCGTCGCTTCCTGCAGGACGAAGGAATGTTACTCCATTTTGACTACATTTTGCGATAAAGGAGTAACAATAAGGCATCACATGAACTTCAGAATACTGACAAATATCTAGCAATAAAATACGATTTTTTTGGAGAACTTGAAAAAATCTCTTGACATTTTTAGGGAATTTTCACTGCAACTTTTTCTGATGCATCTAAATTTTAAAGTCAGTAGAGAACATATATAACTTTTCTAAACAATATTGTGCGGAGAAAAGCAGGCCTCGAACGTTCATACGGAGTACGGAATGGCGAAAAGGAATTAGCGAGCAACGAAGAGAATTCGCGGAAATAACGTGATCGGTCACAACGGTCGCTGCTAAAACCGTGCAAACTCTTTCGTTTTTTTTTCCATTTTTGGGAAAGATAAAACTGGTATTTCAGAAAAAGAAACAAGCTACAGCAAGGATTCCGAATTTGAAGCTCGACTCAGATTCTCTACGAGGATTTTCTCGGGGATCACGGTAACACCATCTGTTCATTACAAAAATTATTTCGAAACTTAGAAAAGATACTTCCAAACTAGAGAATGATCACAAAATTGAGACCATAAAGAGAGTGTGCGTTACCGAGTGAATCGCAAAAATCATTGAACGGAGAAAAGGAAAGAAGATGGAAAGGAAACACACATAAATTTCGCTCCTTGAACTTAGAAAGGGCCAATGGACAATGCTGGAAAATAATGAATAGGTATCGTCAGCTGGAAGTTCACCTTCAATACGCAGTATAGGCAACAAAAATACCGGGGAGCGTGAATAGTTATCTATTCGAAAACCACACACAAACATCACCACGCTGTCACCTTTAATTGAACAGGAGTGAAACCTTTTCAGTACCTTATTAACTACTGGGGGAAATACTGTTAACTCCGACTATTAAATAATGCAATATAGGTATAGGTAGAGTACCTCATTCGTATAACTAAACTGTTAACTTCGTACGACACATTAGAAAAATTTTCTGTTGTTTCTTCCTCCGGATAAAGATTCTGTTCAAACCTCATGTGTATGGGCAAGCTGTGTTAAAAATGGAGTTGAGTTGACCTACATAGACTGGAGCGATCAGTGAAAATATGTATCGATGAAATCGGAATCTCAGTGGAACCGCGGAAGAAATGGCAGCGCTGTTTTTTAATTTGAATAATTTGCATACCGAATGTGTGAGGAAGTGGAAAGTCCTGTGATCAAGGATATTTATTGAAGCAAAGTCAGTGTCCGTGACAAATTCGCGCCGAAAACAAGCCATTAATAATGACCGATAATTTAAGGTTAGAAATTTGGGAGGAAAAAGATTCAACCTCGTGAAAGGTACCTGATTTCATAGCTTTATGATGTAAACGAATTCGGAGAAAGTGAATTCCGACCTTCCTTTCATCGTGGGGGTAAAGTAACTACTGGTAAAAATTGATGTATAATTTGTTAGGCGCGTAATAAAGTGAGGAGGAGCACTTGTTCACATAGGGAACCTCTGCTGAGACGCAAGATTAGCAATAAAATCAGCAGGTGATAATCCTCAAGGTCTGATATTCATCTCCTCCCACAGTCCCACCCAGCGAGCTGAATATGGAAATGAATAGAGAAAGCTACAGACACAGAATAAAAAGAGGGGAAAATGGTGCAATCTTATTGGTTGAGGCAGGTTGAATGATGGCAAGGCCAGATCTGTCACCCCTGCCAAAATGTAAGGATGCACCGATGTATCAAATTTTTTTGTGTACATGCCGGCCGGCCCATTCCTTTTTTCTTTTCCGAATTTTGTTTTCAATTTTAAGACGGTTTTTTGTATCTTTAAAGGAAAAGAACTCATTGGTTTTCAGAGGGACCTCTTTGATATCTAGACAAGGAGGTATACTAAGGGTCAAGTAATGACCCGTGTCTCTTAAGCAATGAGTCGGGAGGTTTCGAGGAAGTTTGCTTCAAGATGAGCATATTCCAGGAAAGTTGGGCCGTTTTGATATCACTCCTTTAAAGCGATGGATCAAAACGTGTTCAAGCCCATCATACCTTTAGGTAGGTATTCAATTTTTTAGTGTGAAAAATTTTGGGGTGTTCAACATATTGCATAGGCATCAAGAGGAAATTGGGCCGTTTTGATATCACTTACTTTTAAATGATGAAAGCGGAACTGCCATGATCTGCTTGGGATGTCTCATTTCATTTCATTTTTTTTTTTTTTTAATTTATCAATTGATTTATTTCTATTTTAATAGGTACCTAGTCATTTTTTTTGTTTTTGGATTGGACTGGAATTTTGTACAAAAATGTAATTTTTGTTTTTTGGGAATTTTCAGCTTATTTGCAAGAATCTAGCATTAAAAAACGATTCTGTGACCAGCGCAACTGACTCATTCGAAACTGTAAATTCTAGTTCAATTTAGAAACAAAGTATGTTCCATTATTTTTCCTACGCACGCAAGTGTTTTTACGCATGAGCCAGAAATTTTAATTCCCGATTTTAAAACGCAGTCTAAATAATCCGCTTCCTTTTCAAGAAAATCCATACGTTCCTCATACTTTCTTACAGACTTTTAAAATCCATGCTTCTCGCGTAGCGAATCAATACTTTCCCCTTACAGTTGACACCAAGTCTCACTCAGCGTGTTTCTCGCGGTCACACACATCTTCGCGGTTGATCCTCCGTTCTTGTGACAAGTGGAGCTGTTACAGCCCATTGTCCTCATCCGACCCAGGAGCCGGCGAGCAGGTAATCGAAGGTCGAAGTCGGGGACAAAAGCTGCCCGGACTTTCTCCGACTGAAATCGGCGGCTTAAACCGACGCCGCGGCCGCGCCCCGACGCCCGCTTAAAAACACACGGCTCGTTCCAGACCCCAGACCCCAGCCCCGGGTTTCGGCCCCGAGTAGCTTATTTACGCACCTCACGCTGCGTTTAGCTAGCGTTGCCATACCGTGCCAAAAAATCCCTCTTTCGTGGGTCCGAGGCAGTGGCGTGATGTGCTTTTCGATATTCTGTCGAAGGCAAATAGTCAAATCGGGCATTGTGTCAAATCAAATGCCTGGGCAAATATTCAAATATTCTTACTGAGACAAAAAATAAATAAAATTAATTTTTACCCTAATTTGCGACAAAATAATTCTTTGCTCCTGTAAGAAAGAATTCTCTGTAAAAATATGCACCATACAACAGTATTTTAAACGATTTTCAGATCCTGAATGTACATTTCTCATGAAATTTTCAGCACGTCATCGAACATAATTTTTTTTAAATTTTAAGATTTACATGTACTAAAGGCAAGTAAAAAGGAAGGAGCTAGGAGAATCCGCGAATTTGAAGAGTTATTCTTCCCAAAATATTGAAAACTCGTGAACTCCTCGCCACAAATTAACAGAGTTCCGAAAACTGTAAAAAGATGACTTTTTGCCTAGGCATTTGACAAAATGTGTGATTTGACTAATTTAATTACCTTCGACATATTGATCGATCTGTCATTTGAACCTAAGGATCTAAGTTTTTTTTTCCCCTCTCTCTCTCTCCCCCCTTCTGGTTTTATGGCTTCGTGTCTAGCACCTTCAGTCGACTTTAATCTATGTTCATTGTCTAAAGACATCGAGGGATTTAGCCACATCCATGCTCCAGGCTTTTCAAATTTTCAGGGATTAAGGCCAAGGAGTATCTGCTTCAGCAGATCTACTCGTCAGGGCCGTGAAAATTAGTCACCACCACCGGGATTCGAGCCCGGGACCTATTGACCTAGAGTCGGACGCGCCCCTTTCTTCTTGGAAGGTCACAAATGAAGAAGTTACTGAAGCAGACTTCATCTGATCCGGTACGGCTTCTGCGCATGCTCCCGGTTGACTCATTTTCGCAGGACGGCGCGCGGCGACTCGAAAGCTGCGGTCGCCGCTGTCCCCAAAGCTGGAGGCTGAGCCGCGAAAGCGCGCCGCGCGCCGCTTGGAGCGGGTAAACCGCAGATAATGCACCTGTTTTCGAGCACCGGGCGCCGGCGCCGCCGCCGAGAAATCCCGAGTTCAGGGGCACCGCACCGGCCCACGGAGTCACCGCTCTTGTGACCTTTTTCCAGTTCGGGCCCGGCCCCGATTCTCTCGAGAAAATATCGCGCCATCGACAGCAAGACTGTGACTGGAGTCCCTTTATACTGAGAGTCAAGACAATTTGAATCCATTTCTGATTGGTTCCCGTATTTTAAGCCTCCACAGTGTCACAAACGGGAATAAAGATTACATTTTCACCAATTGCAAAGATTATAATCTGGAATGGACCAGGGAATTACGGGTTCGGCAAGGAACAAACGGAATGAGAGGAGGAACGGAGAAAGGCATTTGAGAATGAGCCGATCAAAGATTACGAAAAACGTTCAATTTCTGTAATCTTTATTCCCGTTTGTGACATCCATGAGCCGAATTGTCTTGACTCTCAGTATAAAGGGACTCTAATTGTGACCAACGCCAGTTCCGCTCAGGGAAAGCTAGTCTGACAAAAATTCGTCAAATTTAAACAGGGTTGCCACAGGATTTAAAGGATGAAATTCCCCGACATGTCCCTGATTTCTCTGACACATTTTGCTGAAATTATGTAACAATTGAAGATACGTCAGATGCTGAAAATGACATAATTAGAGATAGTTCTCGGGCAAAGTTGTCGTTCGAAACGTTAAACTTTTCTTGGAAAGCAAGTAAAGGTGGCTCAAGGATTTTTCCCTTACATTTTCGTCATTTTCCCTGACATTTCCAGGTTTTCACTGACATATATAAGTTCCCTGACATTTCCCGGTTTTCTCGGTATTCCCTGACTGTGAGAACCTTGTTTAAACCCTGAAAATTTCTGGCAGTTGCGTGGCATGCTTTGCAATACATCAATTGATCTCCCATTGAAACCTACAGAAAAGGATCGATAGACAGGATATTCCCAACGAACGCCTTAGTAGTCGATTCTTTACCACAACTTCATGAGAGGAAATATCGATAGTCGATCATTCACGCCTTGCCACTGATTTGTGGTTAATGCCGAAAGAACTCTGGGCAAAAGAATTCGCCGCACAAAACGATAGGGTGCGTCTGCTAAAATTTAGTTTGGAATTTTCTGGATATTTCAAATGAGATTCTGGCGCGAAAAAATTGACGTTTGTTTGATTTTACAAACCTACGCATTCAATGAATTGAATCCCATGTTTCACATTCGTGTGCTAACCTGCATTTTGTAGTTGAGAAATGCTTTACGCACTTGGAAGTTTTAGATCCATGACAGATTTTTCTCCTCCCCCCCCCTTTCTCTCTCTGTAGTAAAGTATGTAGTACTCTCTCTACTGAAAGTAGACGCTCTAAAAACTTTAAAAGTTCAAAAATCGAGCTTTGTCGAGAAAGAGCATGAGTGGAAGTCAGACACGTAAAAGTTTGAACAGTACAAGAAATTGCAAAACTTGAAAGTTTTTTTACTTTTCGACAGCTCCTTCTGTTTTAGGCGAAGCCTTAAGTGGCAATCGAATAGGATCGACAGGAAAACAAATAAAGAAACGGCTGCATGTGTTTTATTTGCGCTTCTCGGGCAATATTTGAGCTTCCATTTGCACTTGCTGTTAAGTTATGGAAATGGCTCAGACGTCTTCACGCGGAACCGAGGTACACACACTTTAGCCTTTAAAACAACGAATAGGCAATATATTTTTATTGGATCAGCGTTCCGTGTCCTTACAAATAAGGCTTCATTTGTTTCTCTTTCCTCCCGAGAGACGTGAACATCACCAAATTAAACAGAACCTCCTTAAAGCCAACTTGGAGAGTTAGCAAACCGGAAATGTAAGACGCAGGGGGCGGAGGCAATCGAGGAATGAACCGATTGAAACGATAAGAATTAAGCTTTCAAAATACGGTTCACCATCGAGCTACCATGATTTACATTGAGATTTTTATCCTGATCATTTTCACAATGATTTATTTTAATAGTCCAGGATTAAGTTGCAAGTGAGAAATTGACGTCTGAAAGAATATTCGATTCAATAGTTGCAAAGTTTCCACTCACAAAAAAACCAAGATCTAAATTTGTCAATTAAGTCGTTGGAAACCAACGCACTAGTTCGAAAAAGTTCAAAGTTTCAAAAGCAAATGTCCTTCCTGATTTGATATATGGTACGTACAAAATGTTTTAGAAAAATGTTTCTCCCTGAAAAATTCATTTCTTGCACAGTACACAGAAATTATTCTTAAGCATGACCAGTTTAGCTGAAATTGCTTTAAATATTTCGCAGGTTGAAGTTTACTTATGAGCAAAGTATGCTTTCGTCCAACTTATGAGTTTAATTTGGAGATTCTTTAGGTGTCCACCGGGTTTTCAACTTCAAAATCATAATGCGAAAACAGCAGATGCCGCAAGTTTGAATAATCACATCAAACACAGTGCGGTACGCGCGGGGCTGGCGCGCACGGCGCGGAACGTATAGTAGCGCCTTACAAGACCGCAGGATACTTCATGCATTGCGCGTACAGCACGGTGCGCGCGACGCATAGTATAGCGCCTTACAAGTCTGCAGGATACTTCAAGCATTGCACGTATACCACAAAGCGCGCTCAAGTCCTTGAAAATTCGTATTTTCTTGGTGTCGAGTCTACCCCGGTGTTCACAATTACTGAACAGAGCACACCGCGAGCTTGCAATCCTAGGATCACAGGATTGTAGAGATTTTCCAATCCTGTACGTTTTCTAGTGAAAATATAATTAATTTTCGGTGGAGTTTGTATAGGCGTAGGAGAGTGTGTGCTATGATGCTGCATTGTTGCATTTCTCACTTTGGCTATTGGTCTACTCAAGGTATAGTTCACACACAACTTGTTGAAAAATGTCTACCCTAAATGCTGAACGAATTCATGCAGAAATTATGAGGTTGAAAGTAGGAATGATCCTTACCTTCAATTTCGCAAGTTTTTTCCTGGCCAAATAACCGCGACAATGGCTTTGGAGTTTGATTATCCGGTCGGTTAGTTTGGCGTCTCTTTGGAGCTCCAACTGGGCCAGAACTCCAGACCGGAAGAATATCTGAAACATACAAAATTACACTTCGTAAGTTTTAAGTAAACACCGGACGAGGATTAGACAGGATGCACTGACGCCCGTGAGGCGACAAAATTGTAAATTACACGGATTTTGGACTTAGAATAACTTCGAACTCGGTTGTCTAAGTATAAGCACTAAATTGACACAGACAACAGAGTAAAGAAAACTGATAACGCGAGGAAAATATTCTTCCGCACAGAGAAACAGGTGATAGGACGAGAAACCATTAAATAATTTCATCTCCTAAAAAAAGGGCAAAAAAAGAGAGAAAAAAAACGACCAACAGACAAAACCCTTGTGGCCACAGCGAAAATTTTACTCCACGTGATGCATAACTTGATTGACACAGCTTTGTTTGACGGTAATTAAATGAACACGGTGAGAAACTGTCGAGAAAATGATTATCATTAGGTGATTTCGACTTGTTTCTTTCTTTCTCCTCTGGAGACAGTAATGAAGGATCCTAAGCATAATTGAACGACGTTTATTGGAATCAGCCTAACCTCATTCCACGTTGCCACATTTCCTCCCATGCTTTATTTTTGTAACAAAAATCGGGACGAGATGGCCTAATGATACTCTCTGTCAATTTTCCCAAGATTTTCTCTTGCTGAATTTTAACTCAGAATAATGTGTAGCTTCCAGTTCAAAAAAAGAACCTGAGGAAACCAGACAACGTCAGACTGATGGAAAGTATGTCGATGAAAGAAATTTCGATCGATTTGTGTCGATCGAAAGAGTGTCGATCGAATTTATGCCGATTGAATTGTGTTTTCGTTTTTTGATCGACTTGCGTCGACGATTCTTGTACCCGCCGGACTAACCGGCTGTAATTGTGTGGATTCTGGTCTAATTCGTCCAATTCTGACGGCTCGCAGGCTGGTGTGTGAACGAATGATACTTGAATAATAGTTACGAGAACTATATACATTACAACTATGTAGAGCTATTCAGTATTCATGCGTTGGAGTCAGGTTTTATAATTTTCAGGAATTTGAAAAAATGTTTCTTTATCGTTAACTTTTGGTTGTTACCAAATTAATTAAGGCGACGTTCCGTCTGAGCTCGGCACTCTCGTGAGGCAAAAATATCAGGAACTCATAATCAAAAGAATTTCGTCACTTCATGTTTGGATATAGAAAAACCGCCAAGCTTAGGAGAAGCGATCACTTAGTTAGAAAAGGAAAGAAAAGAAGAGTGTTGACGGTAGAGGAAAACTCCTTCAAATGTTCGGGTAGGCAAAAAAGCGCACATTAACATACGAATAGTTATCTTCTCCGTTTAAAGAGTCAATTAATTATCGGCATTTCAATCACAGAATTATAGAGGCCGTCCGTGCGAATCAGGAACATTCTACGATTTCCGACCCTTCTCTCTTCAGTGAGAGGGGGATGAAAAACTTATTCTCGTTTTTGTCTTTTCTCCTTAATTTTTGAAATGTTGAAACCTTCGTGCGCTTAGCCTTAGGTTAGGTCGAGATTTTCCATCCGGTCATCCCTTCAACGGAGTCCTGCGAACTGATTAATGAAATCGATAGACAAAACTATAGACAAAGAAGACATAGGGAAGCGATCCTATTGGTTGAAGTGAGTGCGGTTCCTACAGACTAAGCGAGAAAATGATGGACTAACTAGTTTCAAACTATTGAATAAATATCACGGGATTTAGTGACCCATTGGACGTATTTATGCTAAAAGAACTATGTTGCACGCACATAGTACCCTATACCATAGTAACCCTATGTACATGGGTCCTTCGACATAAATACGTACACTTCCTGCAAGTTGGCGAAACTTTTTAATCTCCATTTACAGCCATAATAAGTAATCGTTTCTAGTTAGGGCAGCCCGCCTCGACTTATATCGATTGTATTGCAAACATTTGAATGGGCGAAACCTTACTGTGCCAACTTGGGAGAATCGTCCCTACTTCAGCGAGAAGGAAAACGTTCGAGCACGTCCGAACGCGCCATTCGAAAGCCGACCGTTCACGTTGCGAGCGTCAACTTTACCATCCTAAAGAAAAACAACGAAAGAGTATCCCAGTGTTGTCAGATCGCTACTACCCCCTGTTCCGGCTTAAGGTGATTATAATTTCAGCTACCTGTCATTTTTTTCAAATTTTCAGATCGCACTTCTGTTGTCATGAGACTAAAGAATTCAAGTACCAAATTTGACAAAGGAATTCAACGTATTAATCACTGGTAAAAAAAACCTCTTGGACCAATGCCGCGGTGCATTGACTTAAGAGTGCAGTTTCTTGTCGCCGGATTTAAGAGTCTTGAACTCTTGTTTCAAGCGGATTTTGCACTCATTCAATTCAAAATCCGCTTGAAACAAGAGTCCAGACTCTTAAATCCGGCGACAAAAAACTGCACTCTTGAACCAAGAGGTTTTTTTACCAGTGAAAGGCAGGATTTTTTCAGTGGAAAATTATCGCATTCGAGTTCAGTTTCGATATCAGTATCCAATGCTATATTTTTCCTCTAAAAAAAACCCTGCCTCTATTATGTTGAATTTTTTTGTCAAATTTGGTATATGGCTTTTTTAGTCTCATGACAACAGAGCTGCAATCTCAAAATTCGAAAAAAAATAACAAGTAGCCAAAATTATAGAAGGAATCGATGCGATATCGCACGTTGCTCTGACACAAAATATTGCGTCCATCGAATCACCTTAACACACTTCGGCTGATTCACATCATCCGATATGCGGTATCTTTTTGCGATGTTTTGATTTATAAATAAACGTCTTTATGCTAAAAGGAACTATGCTCATAAGATTTGCGTAAGACATAGTTACTTTTGGCATAAATACGTTCAAATAATACAAAACTGGGAAATTTAGCGGAAAACCTAAAATTCATACGAAAAATTGGCAAGGTCGGAAGGCTCATACGGCGTTTTTCCCGAGGACAAGATGGACCGGCGTTGCTGGGCTCAACTCACACACGTACCTCATCTCGTGCGGGCTATTCAGATTCTCCGAGCATGGACTCCTAGTAACTTGATTCAGTGTCCGACTCTCCTTTAGAAAAAACCACTTTACTCCCGAGGTAATCTTACGGGAAATTCGTTGTTTTTGCTCAGGATCCGGTCGGGCGGGATTCGGGGATAGCCGGTCACGACTCTGCCCGCGGAGGTTGCGCTCGTGCGTCGCCCGCCGCAGCGAAGGCGTCGCCCGCGGCGTCGCGGCGCACCCACCGGGGACAGGGGGGGAGGGGGGGATAGGAATGGGGGGAGGAAGGGTCGCGAGATTCGCGATTAAACGGAAATTCGCACGCTCATCCCGCCAGCGTTGCGTCTCTTATCAATCCGTAGATGAAACGTGGGTATTCTCCAATTTGTGAAAAATGAGAAAAGAGTCCTTGCCTACACCACAAAAAACTCAAAATGGAGATTTTGCACATACAAATTGTATTGCTTCATCTGAGAGTGCATATTGAGCTGATTTTGCAGGATTTCCCCGATTTCCCTGACAATTGAAGATGTAAAGGATGGTCCAGAGAACATAACGTCGTTCCCCGGACGAAGGAACGTAACTTTATCAGAAGGCTGCAAAATTGACCCAAACAATTCGATTTTTTACAAGAATACACCTTTGCAGTTTTTATCCCTTCTCCTGATTTTTGCATGAGATTAGAAGATGAAAAATCACAGGAATTTTCAGTTAGATATGCCCAAGAATCTCCTGGTACAATTTCAATTTGAGAAAATACATTTGGCAACATTGAAACGTAGTTACGTTCTTTCGTGGGGTGAACGACGATAATTGAAAATAATTTTCAGGCAAAATGTGTTGTTCGAAACCTCAAACCTATTCTAGAAAGCAAATGAAGGTGATTTAAGAAATTTTCCCTGACATTTTTGTCATTTTCCCTGACATTTCCCGGTTTTCCCTGACTGTGGCAACCCTGCAGGCCGCGAAGCGTTCTAGGGAGAGTCGGGCTGGTAAAATGATCAGGGGGCTCTAATCGGAGAGAATCTCTATCGAGAGGTTTGGGTCCCTTTTCTGAGTGGACGGACATAAATGCTTTAATATTTTTCTGGAATTAAACGAAGACATCGAGAGAGAAAACTAGTGCATGAAAGTACTGAATTACCCACAGACAACACGAAGAGAGCACCACCGTTGTGCTTTTTCAGCGATCGCATTCTGAGATACAATTAATGCGTTTACCGGTCGGTTTGCAGTCTCGACTCGGGTTTTTTGCTGCTAAAAAAGGTTAGATCTAAATTTGAAGCCATGTTTTGGTGAAATAATGATCGTATCTTAAAACAGGATGTGCAAGTGAACGAACCAGTTTAAAAAACGCGACACCGACACGTGACGGTCTGATCTTTTTACGGTGCGAAAATTTGAAAAAAAAATCAAAAGCGCCGCCAGGTGGCCAAAACATAACGGCAAAAGTCTTCCGGGTAGGAAAACGAGCTTGGTAAACAAAGAATTGAACGTATTAATGCTAAAAAGAACTATGTCGCACGCAAACTCTATGCATATAGTTCCTTTCAAGATTATTACGTACAATTTGCCTATTGATCGGTCCTCATATAATCCGAAGGCGTCATGGGGAGCATCTTAGTTGAATAAACAAAGAAACATATCTTTCCTCGATCAGTTATTAACTACATGACTTGCACCAGCAAGAGCTACGAGGTTGATTCCGCAACTTGATAGTCTAGCCTTCCGGGAATTATACAAAACAATTTTTGTGACGGTGTCACAGCGGTTCGATTATTAGATCGAACTGACGATAGCTTTTCAGTCGTCAGAAAATTGGCAAGCTGTCTGAACGAATGAATCATCCTATAGTCAAATGAGAATAAGACTGTAACGATACCGTCATTCAATCCGTGTTACTCCAGACGGCGTTGGAAAGGTGGATCACGATTGATTCGTAATGTAACAACATTTTGCAATGAGGAGCTACTGGTATCGTAACATTGCCAATGTTGCGCAATTTATACGTTTAAAATAAATTAA